TCCAATTTTTCCCATTCTCTGCAGATCTGAAGGAAGAGGCACCATCTAGTGATGGTGAGGATGAGGACAAATCTGGCGGCTCTAATCCATGCTTTAAGATAATCATGAAACCCCAACATGTATCTAGACTGGTAATCTTCGATTAATAACGATGATTATTTGACGAGAATGTTTTGAAGCATTCATGTGTATCTATGTGATTTGGTTTATATGTTCGTCTTGTTTGGTAAATCAGCATGTCCCCAAGGATTTTCTGTTGGCCGCTGGTTTGGTGGGGAAGGATGGAGTGTGTTTGGACTATGAAGGGGGTCATCCTGTTTTGGTTGATCTGATTTTAAGGCGCAGAAGATGCGTGGAAATGGTTAAAGGGTGGCCCAAGTTTTGGAGGTCTAACAAACTAGTCGTCGGTAAATCCTACATGTTTGAGTTCATTCCGAGTAAAATGATTATTCAGGTTCATGAGGAAAACGAATCTCCGGTGGATGATGATAACAGTGATGCTGATGAGACTAAATACCCAATACACGATAAAAAAAGGAAAGGCAAAGGCAGAAAAGATCAAGAAATCGTGAAAAAAAGGAACGGCACAGCTAAAATTCAAGAAAACATGCGTGATATTTCCTCTCGTCTGAAAGAAGAAACACCTAATTTCGATGGATTAAGTTCTGGTTAGGTTTTTTTTTTTTTTTTTCTGCCATTTTAGTAGAAAGGCCCTTCGTTCAATTGTTATGTTTGTCATATTCGTGGCGTTTTGTTCACCTGTTTTAGCATATCGACTAAATTCTGTTGCCTTCTGAATAAAAAGCTCTCAAATGCCATCGAAAGTTTAGTAAAGACTAATTAGTATTCTCTTATTTTCGGATAATGAAAAAAAATGTTGCATTTTATCAGACGTAAAGGGAATGTGGGATGCATATCAGAAAGCAGAGGCTTTCGTCTTGAGCCGCACTCCAAAAAGACCATGTTTCATTTCTTTCATGCACAAAACCTATGTCCGAGACAAACACAGCTTGGTAACCAACTCATTAAAGATTTTTCCAACTCGCATGCATTGGCTTTCCCTTACAACATTGTTCATTTCTTTTCCTAAAATGCAGAATGTACCATTTCCATTTGGTAGACGAAATTTGCCACATTTGGGCGTTCTGTCGATAGTTTTGGTCACGAATGGGAAAGAATGGCTCGTGAGTTGCCTCAAGAAAAAGCGCTGCGCGAAGTTGTTGACAGATGGATGGAGGAAATTCGTGCAGGATAATGAGATCAAGCTTGGTGATGCTTGCGTATTTGAAGTGGCAGATAGATTCGATAGTAAGGGCAATGAGCTCGTGTGGGATGTCTTTATTTTTCGCAACTGATAAGGCAGTCGGGCTGCGTAGTTTAAGCTGTCATCATCTGATTGTGAATTGAATCAACTTCTGATTTTGCAATATGTATATGTAACTTTGGGGATATGTAAGGTTTCATTGGTGTGGCTACAAGCTTAAAATAGTTAATGAATTTATGGCGCCATGTTAATCGATCGAACAAGCTTAAAACTCAATAATGAATTTAAATTGCATAAATTGGACACATTTGCACAAGTCTTACACAATGAAATATTGTATTTCGGGGCTTAATTTATATGAAGATAATTTGTTGCACCTTGTTATATTGTTTTGCTTAATGAAAACGAAAGAAAAATGAAATTATTTCATCTCGGTTAAACCGATCAACCAAAACGTCAAAACCGAAATAACTAAGTCGAATTATTGAAAAATCAAAGCGATCGAATTTGTCACAAACCATCTATAAGCAACCGAAATATCGATTTATTCGATCAGTTAACCAAATTAACAAAAACAAAATTTTATTTATAATATAAAATATATTCAATATTTTAACATTTTTATTTAATATTATATTTTATGTTTTGCTAAAAATAAATAAATCATCTATATAAATAATATTTTTATATAAACAATCTACATATAAAAAATCAAACCAAAAAAAATTATTTCATTTTCAGTCTTTTTTTTTTTTATTACACTTTGCACGCTCTTAGTCCTACTGTCCTAGTCCTGTTACTCGAACAAAATCAGCACTTTATAATGAAAATATTAATTAGAAAATGAAAAATTTTGATGATTTCTTAAATGTGTCGTGTCAAAATCACTGACAACCTCGAAAAAATCCAAGCAAATCCCGTCGGTGGCTCTGATAAAATCCCCACCCACACTAATCTTTATTAAACAACTGAATTTTATAATATAATTATAATTGGAGTTTTGCGTAAATTACAATATTTGACTGTAAATTGTCATTGTTCAGTCAATATCAATTTACTGTTGACTTTGGTAATCGCAAAAGTCATAATGCTTAATCACTCCTATCTGTAATCAATCACCAAACAAGAAAATATAAAATAGTACCAAAATAATAAGAAAGATAAATCCGTCGCCACTGTAAATCTACATTTGACCGGAAAATGTCTACGAGCTCCGGCCGGCGGGTGATCGGAACAAAGTTCTTCAAGATCATATTGGACCCCAAAGCAGACCGTATAGTAAGTTTCCAAGTCGTGTCGAGTTCATGTTTTACTATTTTATAGTCAGATTATATCATTCAAATTTAGCTGAATCATTTATTTCAATTACATCGTGTCAATCTTTGTCAGAGAATCCCGCCTGAGTTTACAAAGAGATACGGTCACGATCTTCCGAGCCGCGTCTTCCTAAAGGTTCCGACTCGGCTGACAATGGAGGCCGAGTTGACTCGGTGCGATGAAGGTCAAACTTGGATACACATAGGATGGCAGGAATTCAAAGACCGACACTCGATCTGCTTCGGTTATCTCCTGTTGTTCGAATACGACGGGAAATCCGAGTTTAATGTCCGCATTTTCGACACGAGTGCTGTAGAAATAATTTATGACATTAATGGTGTTGCAAACTCGGACAACATTGATGGAGACCTGCAGACATATTTTTCCACACCTCTGTTTAATTACTTCGGTCCGGATAATTATATTCCGGTGTCTTATGAATTTATAAGGGGACAAACTGATTTCGTGGATGAGCAGATTTCGTTCGCACGGGCTCAACATGAGAAATTCTCCGCCGTGCGTGCGCAATTTGCTGCTCTGATCGTTTCTCCTCAAGCAAAGGCCACGCAAGGTTCGAGTGGTGGCCCTTGTGGTGATGCGGCGAATGCTGATCGTGCGTATGTTGTTTCCGATGATAGTGATGATGGTGATGGTGATGGAGACGATGATGGTGATGATGATGGTGATGGTGGTGATGGTGATGGAGATGATGACGGTGATGATGATGGAGATGATGGTGGTGATGGTGGTGGTGATGATGATGGTGATGGTAATGGTGGTGATGGAGATGACGGTGTTGGTGATGATGATGAATTGTTTCGAGCTTATTAGCGGCCAGCTGGTTTATGATTTTACATATTATAAAGTCTTTTTAACGTCGCTAGGAAGAGCCAGCACTAATAGTTGTTATGTTTGATGCGGTCGGCTCACGTACGTCGTGTTGTATTTTGTCGAAATTCACTTGCATGCTCAAGGCAAAATGTAGTCTTTGCATGTACTTTTGTATTTGGAAACTGATGGTAACCGGGTGTATAAGGCTCGGTAATTGGCGTGTTATATATATTTTGTTAATTTTATATGAATGCTGCAACTTTTCTGGAGAATTGCTAGGCCTGAAACTGATCGGATTGCCGGAGACTTATAAGCATCGGTTTTCATTGTAGTTGCAATTATCTGTATGTAAGAAATATGTTAATTACACATATATATAAGAACGATGAACTAATTGCCACTTACAACAGAACTGATTAAGGAGTTGAAATCTAGAGATGTTAGCAGCCTCACTTGTGTTCTTTAGTTCATGTT